CTCCCCTTCTCCCCACTCGCCTGTAGGTGCCTTGACACGCTCATATCTTGACGGGACGAGGCCCCGTCAGAGCCCAGCCCACCACAGTCGCCGCCACTTCCACCACCGCAACCACGACCACAAGCCCCGAAACCACAGACAGCACAGCGGTAGAAACCGCAGGCGGCGGCGGAGCGCCGCCGCAACATCCGCCGCAGCCGCCGGCCGGCCCGGCCCCCCCCCAGTGCCGCTGCCGTAATCGCCGCCACACACAGCCCGCAGCCCGCCACCGCCGACACGGTACAGGCCGTCACCACGAAGGCTCCGGAGCCTGGGCGGAGGCTGCGGCCGACGCCGGTGCTCGTGGTTTCGGAGTCGCCGTTGTCGTCCCCTGGCGGGAAGGAAGGTCCAGGGAGGGGTGATCAATCCCGAGATTTAGGTCGTTTTCCAGGACTTGGGGCTCCGTAGTGGGGGCGGCTATCCGCAGCGGCGGCGGCAGCGGCAGCCCTAACCCGCCGCGCGATGGCATTTTCACGCACCCTCCCGTGCGACGATGATGACGGTGCATTCTTCCGACCACACCCCGCCCCAACCCAGGCCTTCCTTCGCCCTACGTCTCCGCACCCCACTGCCGTACAGGTCCTGCCGTACCTCTCCTCTCCCCTTACACACCACCATCCAGTACACCCTCATCATTTCCTTCCCGCGGCCAGGTTGTTTATTAAAACACACACACATACCCATACAGACACCACCGTGCAGTACTCAGCCCCCCGTCCCCTCCCTCCCCCCCAGCCTCAACCCCACTGTCAGACTTCGTACGGGGAAGATGCGGCACGATGTCCAGGGATGCACGATAGCGACGGAGGTAGGCCTGGCGGAACAGCGGCGGAGGCGGTGGCGGCGGTGGTCGAGAGTTACAAGGGAAAAACGGTTGTCGCGCGTACGGCAATTAAATGATGATGATGATGATGACGACGATGCAAAAATTTACATAGGGACAAATCAATTTACTGGGATTTAATCGCCGGGGGCTGCCTAGCTGACGTACCGGGAAAGGTGCACATCGTACGGCAAGAGTGTGGCACAGGGGTCAAGGGGGAGAAGGGGGGAAGGGCGATGAGCGGGGGAGAAGTACGGCGCCGCCGGGACAGCATACCTGCGGTAAGTAGTGTGCTGCCGCCGCTGCCTGCGCCTCCGCCAGTGCCTCTTCCAGCGTCCGTACAACCGCCGTCGCCGCCGCCGCCGTGGTGTCCAACGCTGTACGACGCCCAAAGTTCGCCGTCGCCAGGCGCCGCTGTCGACTTTGCTGCTGCTGTGGCGACGACGGCGGCTGAGCGGCTGTGTTTCCAAGATTTGTTTCGACTTGTATGACACCTGATTTCATGTCGTCAAGAATTGACTGCAAAAGGTCGCTGCCGTACGGAGGGAAAACGGGGCAAGTCAAGGAAGGGGCCACTCCAAACTGCAAGCCCCTCCCATGAAACCCTGGACGTCCTACCCCTACAGATAACAATCTGGCCAGGAGTGTATTCAAGCCTTGGAACGTTTTGGATTTTGCATATTGTACGACACCGTACTCACTTGTAGTACGTGGCGCCCGCCATTCTCAGTCCCATGGCCAGGTTGGGGCTGTTGAGGCCTTCCACCAAAAGCGGCAACGCCGAAACCAAGACGCCAGTGTCGTACCCTGCCTGCGACCACAAGTCCGTGCGTTGCGATACCAAGTACGGCAGCCGTACGGGCGAGACGCTGACGAGCGGCAGGACCAGAGGCGGCAACGCTGCCGGCGAAGATGAAGCAGCTGTTGCCGCAGTAATGGCGGCGGCGGCCTCGCCGTCAACATCGTACCGGTCAGGCGACGCCAGGTACGACAGCAGCTCATAGGCCATGAGCTTCGTGAAGGTATCGGACCTGCGTACGGCGGCAGGTACGGGAGGACGACCGGCGGGAAGGTAATCAACTTACAGCACGACCGGCATGACCCGCCGCAACTGATCCCACAGACTCCCGCCACATCGACACCCCCCTCCCTCCCCTCTTCCCCCCCTCCCTCCCCTCTCCCCCCCCCTCCCTCCCCTCTCCCCCCCCTCCCTCCCCTCTTCCCCCCCTCTCTCCCCTCTCCCCCCCCCTCCCTCCCCTCTCCCCCTTTTCCCTCCCCTCTCCCCCCCCTCCCTCCCCTCTCCCCCTTTTCCCTCCCAATGCCCCAGGACGAACGTGCACATGGGCTCGCAAAACACATACGCGTCCCTCCTCACAAAAGCGAGGTATTCCCCATGGATTTGATGTTTCACACAACGTACAAAATGTGTTTCTGACGTACACGACCTTTTAAGCCACATACACACGCACACACGTGCCGTACATGCTGCTCACAGCCCCCACGAGATTCGACTCCAGCAGCAGGGGAGCGAAGTTGACGAGACGCCGGCTCTCCACGCGGCGGCCGCCGTCGTCACCACCGTCGTCATCACCTCCTCCTCCGACCTGTACGGCGTACGGACACAGCTCCGGGGTGCAGGCCGTCAGGCCGCCGCCGCCGCCGCCGCCGCTGCCGCCAAAGTCCCGCACGCAGATGGTTTCGGATCCGGGAAGACGTGCCACTCGAACCGCTTCCTGTAGCACCTGTGTATTACTGCTACTGCTGCCACTGCCACTGCCACTGCCAGGGCTGCTAGTGCTGCCGTCGGTGGTGGTGGCCGTTGAGAATAACTGTGCGGCAGTAGCGTTCGTCATCGCGACGTAAGGCCCATGAAGGGGGTTCCCCGAGCCAGGCGGCAGGGGGGAAGACGCAAAAGGGGGGCCCAGGGGCTTTCGAATGGCACGGATGGCACGGATGGCACACCTCTATGTACGGCTTCATGCAAGGGGAGCATGAATCTGAAATGTGAAGATTGGCAGTGCTCCGGTCCACCCCGTGTTGCCGCACCCCCACCCTGTGTTGCCCTACCGATCCTCCCTTTTGTTTTTCCGCCCAATTTTTTCACTTGTGTTTTCAATACAATTTTTCCGGTTCTCCTCATCCCCCTTGGTCACGCTTGCTTGCTACGTTATGCGTTCGCGAATTCTTACACCTGTACGACCCTTCATTGCTCATCGTCCTGCGGCGCCTTTGCTTTCTTTGCCCTAGTTTTTCTTGGGTTGTCTTCATCGCTTTGCTTACGCTCGCTACCTTACTAGTTTTCCTTCAGCGGCACTTCGCATGCGTTTCTTATTCATTTGCCGCTGCTCAACAATTTTCTTGCGCTCTGTTTGGCATGTGCTTTTGCCCGGCGCCTCTGTCGCTTGTGCCACCTGGCCAGGTGAGTCCTAGCGGGTCCGAGCTTTGTCGTTGTTTCGCGCTACGTCGGCTGGCTAGCAAGTTGGGCTGGTTCGGTTGGTCGGGTCTTGGGCGTGTTAGGTGGGGGGCTGGGAGGAGCTCTCGCATGCCAGCAAACAGCTTATCAAACAGCAAATCAGATTAAAATTTCGTTCACCAATTCTGCCGCTAGGTCGGCGTACACTTACGGTACTTTCTGCTGTGTGCCGCCTGACTTTTTACTACTACGGTTTCCTTTGTATTTCCGTTTTCTTTACGACTTTCCTCTTTCATCTCTGCGGCTAGGTCGTCATTTCGCTTTTTCTCCCATGGACTCGGCAGCCTTTGGACTCGGCCGCCTAGGTATTCTTTCGCTAGATTGCGAATCTGGCCGGCCATGTCGCCGCGATGACTACTTCCCAAGTCACTACTGGTTGGCAACTTCTTAAAATTTCTTGATGCGGTATCTATCCATTCCTGGAGAAATAGTATCCGTCTATCTCTGGTATCAGCATCACTCGTCTGTGGTTTGCCTTCCCTTTTTTTCGGACTTGGAGCCAATCATTCCCACGCTGCAAACCTCTCGGCCCGCCAACGTGCGGGGTTCCCCTGTTGTCCAGGTGGATGAGTACCTCACCCGCATCTGCGCCACGAAACCCGCCAGCACCAGCACACAACGCCCCCTTGCAAAACCCGAGCTGCCGTGGCTGCAGCCCTCGTCCGGCTCGGATGGCGCCGCCCCCGCCAGCAGCCGCGCCATGATGCGGAAGGCCTCCGCCGCCGCTGCCGTGTCGAGCAGAGGCTGAAGCGTGGAGGAATCGAAATGGACGCCCTGACTGGACCCGTGGGTCTGTGCAATGCTCGTCCAGATTGCCTGGAGGTAGGACAACTGGGAGCAGCCTGCGGCCAAGCACCACGGCGGTGAAAATACATGAAAAAGAACACAAAGAAATAAAATACAAAAAAAATTAAACACATCTACACATATATACGTATGTATGTGTACGGCATAGGAGGAAGGGGGCAGGGGCGTGGGAAGGGTTGAGATACCTGCATGCTAAACTACCATCCAACTGTGCCGAACCAATTAATCCATAATAAAAATAATGAAAATGATAAAGAATAAAAAGCATATATATAAGGGACCATGCCCCAGCGACTTCATCATGTGCTCATGCGTTTTCGGTTAGGCTGTTGGGAGTTAGAGGTTAATAGACCTAATGGGCGTGAGCGCACCGCGCGTACCTGCAGGCTTTGTGACTGTGGAGCGGTTGAAGATGAGTTGCATGTTTTCGAAGAATGTCCCGCTTACAAGAGCATACGGGCTAAGTATGATGGTGACCTAGTCCTTACGGGGCGCAGCATGCGCACCACTATGACTGAGGCGCCACCCCTGGCATTGGCCAGGTACCTCTCGGAAATCTGGGAGGCCAGGCACGTCGCGCTGAGGCGCTTCGCCCTGAAGCGGACGAGGGAGAATGAAGATGACCTCCCGCGTACCCGCATCAATACCAATACAACGTCCATGGCCCCCCCGGCTTTTACGGACACACCCGCACTTGTGTGCGGAACTTGTAACTTGTAACTTGTATATGGGGATTAGATGCCGGGCAATGGCATGTCGGGCATTGCAGCACTCGCTTGCGCAGCAGGTCCGACCATTTTCCAACCATCAACCACCAACCGGCCCATGTTACAAGCATAACCACCGCGGTGGTGCCCACCCCCCACACCTGCACCCCGCGGCAGGCACAGCGCATAAGGCGGCAGCGGTTCCATCGCCGTCACCGCAGCAGCTGACGCCGCCCCCACTGGTGATGCGGTAACTGTCCTTCGTTCCCGTTCCATGTCGTACATGGACAGGAAGTCCAGCAGCTCAGTCCATGAGGAAGGCACCTGCGGGCGATTGGGGAGGCGCGGTGTCCTTGGAAGTCCGACGGCCCAGCCATGGGACGGCCGAGCCATGGGACGAGTTTAGAACTGCCCCTGCTCCCCTGGCTGGGACGAGCAGGGGCAGTCCATACCATTCGTACAAAAACGTACTTTCCTTTCTGTATCCTGTCTCCCTTCGTAACGCATTCCCCTGCTTGTATGACGAACCATAAAGATCAAAAATGACATACATACACACCAGATATGCACACTGCCCCTCCCCATCCCCAACCTCCCCCCTCCCTCTTCGCCTCATCCCCCCCCTCCCGACCTCCCCGCTTTCTAACCCCCTGCGCTTACCACATGCCGTACGGATAACGCCTGCATTTGTTTACTTTCCCCCGCGTCGCTTTCCCCCTCACCCCACGTGTCTCAAACCTCTCACCCTCATCGCCAGCTGTCTTAACACATCTTCACGGTACAATGTCACCAGCAAGGACCCGTCCAGAGGCAACCCTACGATGGCGCCCTGGTAGCTGCCCAGACTTAGACGCAGCTGCGGAAGAATACTCTGCGGGTGGTTAAGATTCGCAGGGAAAAGAACGGGGAGAAAAGGGGGAGATCGGGAGAAGAAAGTAAAAACATCACGAAAAACACATGACCTGCCAAACACACAACAGCAGTTAAACTAATATTTGCTAAAGAAGCCCAGTCAACCCCAATCCATGGCCTCATACATACACCCTGACTCGCCCGGGTCGCCACCCTGGTCCACATGACCCAACACTCAACCCCCATTCACATACACATATACACATACATACAAACACACACTTGCACATACACACACAACCGCACATACGTACATCGGCACACACATACACACAGCCGCACATACGTACATCGGCACACGCATACACAGCCGCACATACGTACATCGGCACACACATACACACAGCCGCACATACGTACATCGGCACACACATACACACAGCCGCACATACGTACATCGGCACACACATACACACACACTCCGAGTTCTCACATGCCACTCCGTGTTGCCTGGCACCAAGTTGAGCAAGTCCCTGCAAAGGGTGACGACGTGGCAGGCGCCCGATGCAGAAAGAAAAGAGAGAAGGAATTTGTGTTTGCATGTGAGAGGAGAGAAGTGAGGGAAAAGAGTAAGTGACGAGCACGAGTGGGGCGCGTGAGTGAGCAAGAGGAAAGAGGTGGGGCGATACGCCGAAACAAAACACACGCGAGGGGTTATGGCATGCGCTCGCGCAGCGGCGTATATGGCGTTGCAAAGCACGCAGGCTCATGCGCACGTACGCATATCAAAGGACGCACGCTCTGCACTAAGTCATGCGAGATATGTCCCCCAATGACCCGCAGCAAGGGAAATTTATTTACCACACACGGGTGGGCATGTAGCTAATCGGCGCCAACAGGATCTGGGCCGTAACTCCGACTGTTGCACTTCTCCAGTACGGGCCATGCAGGCCGTGCAGTACAACATCGCGCAACAGTCAGACCACCGCCCAACTTTCCGCAGCGTTGCATTAGCAAAGTTTAGGATGGCTGTTCGGGCTTAGGTTTAGGAAGGCACACGCATGGGTTCGCGGTGATGAGGCAGCTGCCCTGTGCATTTGTATAAGAGATGCGTGCAGGGGGCCCCTAGCCTACTGGTATACACCTCCCCCCAAATGGCTGTTATTTTGTTCCCGTATCGCCTTCAAGGGCCTTCAGGGCTTTGCACGCTCCTCCTCTCGTGTTTCCACTAGCTGAAGAGGTTGCTAGCTGGTGGTATGGCCCGGGGGCCCCCCTGTTCTACACAGCTGCCGCTGTGGCTCTTGTTCGGGAATCATTATTAGGGAATTTTCAATGGGTTGATTTCTGATGTTAGAGGGAATTAAATCTGACCAGATTACCGGTAGGTTGTGTTTCCCACAACACGGACTCTGGATGGGTTAAAAGAGATTTGAGGACAGCAGGCGCACACAACACAGACAAGCGCCCGTGTGTACAAACGCAAACGCTTGTGCGTTTGTACATATGAGTACGCATGTATGTGTTCATGCAATCTGCCGCAATGTCTAGTTGTCGCATCCCATGCGGCTGCGGTGGGCGAAGGACGAGTGCATGGTAGTATAGATACACACGACGAACGCTGCTGGTCAGGGAGCACGGTGGAGAGGGGCAGAGAACAGACAAACGCGCACCACCACAAGGCTGTTCCGAAACCGCCGCCCTTTACTGCTGTTGTGGACCGGAACGGAATCTGACATCAACACCGGGGTGCGTTCACCTTCTGCATCTGCGCCAATGTTCTCTTACACAGCGCATTCATGCTTTTCGTTTTGGGGGCCATCGACGGCCAAATGGCAGTTGCCCTTCAGGCCGAAAATGGGTGGGTACCAAGAGGAGTAGCGGGGTGGTTATAACCCATTACCCACGTTGGGCTCCTTGTTTTAAATGAAAGGCGGGGAGACAAGAGACGGCGTTCCCGCATCACGTTATGAGCTTTAGACACTCGTGAAAGAGCGGAAGGGAGGTTTGAGCTCTCGGCATGTGCAAGGGTATATCTGGATACGTTGGTGATTGGGTGGGTCGGCGCGCTCTCCTTTGTAAAATAAGGCTCTTGGAAATCAAGCCTGCAAGGTAGTAGATGCAAGCTGCTAGGTGAGGACCACGTGCCATGTCTTCACACACAACCCCGATAGCAGCAGCAGCAGCAGCAGCAGCAGAAGATACAATAGCAGATGCAGTAGCAGCAGAACCTGACGTATTCATCCGCCACTGCAACAGCCTCAATGGCAATATGTACAGAACTGTGTGTGCGTCTGTGTATGTATATGCGTGTCTTGGGTGAGAGGGAGTGTCTCACCCTAGGTCCGTGAGTTGACCCTCTTCTGCCATTTGCAGTGTCACGGCGGCGGGGTGCAGCAGTACGTCATATGACTGGCTGAAATCCCGACCCGAGAAGTCGGACGAGAATAGCTGTTGCTGGGGCGGCTGCTGTTGTTCGTGCTGCTGCGCTTGTGGCAGCGGGGATGGCGAGGAAGGCAGAGGCGTCGGTGGGCGCTGCTCCCAGAGATGTAGCCATTGGGATAGGGGCACACTGGTGACGTTGAGCGGGATGCCGTACAAGATGGAAAAGCGGGTTAGTGCTGGGGAAAGCCAGGTGCCGTAGCTGTCGGGAAGGGCCACACGGAGACGTGGCGGGGAAGTGTCCTGCGTGGGAGAGGAAGTGGAGAGGAAAGGGACAGGAGGGACGGGGCGGAAGGGTTGTGGATCTGTGGACTGCATTTTGGGTAGGGTTTTGTGGATCGCGTGCTTGACAATCGCGGGTGGCCTGGGGTGCAAGGCGTCGGAAGTTGTGGATGCATTGTGTGCTGCGTTCTTGCCCGCTTTGGGTGAAGAAGGAGCGTTTTTTTCGTGCCCTTGGTAGGGAGCAAAACGTCTTCATTGTAATAAGGTTAACATGGGTTAGTTCAGTTCTTTCAGGATGGGTGCCGCTTCGTATTCGGACCGATCCGGGTTCCCGTTTTTCCGGGACGGGACAGGAGAGAGAATCGTACACGTGAGGCAGGAACTTGGTAGCAAAGGTATCAGACAAGGATATGCTCTTGGATGCACTTGAGCCAACATTGGGTGCATCATTGCGATGTGCATGCAGAAGGTTACGTGCTTTGGGCAACGCCGACACATTCCGCTGCCTAGGTTGACCCACCGTGCTTCCTCGGAGTTCCTGACATTCCGGCACAGTGTTGAAAGATTTGACAATTATTATTGCACCCGTGTCTGCAGATGTACCACAGCTGCAGAGTGGCACCCAGATGTTAGACAATTGGCGCAGAAAGCTATAGACCATGACGGATTTATCCAGCCAGCAACACCGTCATTCCATGCACCTTTTGAGAAGGTTGCTTGTGATGTACTTAGCGCATGAGATGCGGACAGACTCGTCCATAGCAGCCGTAAATCCTGCTACAACGGCAGTCATTTTTAGAAAAATCCATAGGGTACTTCGCTTCATGAATTTTCACGTGAAGAAGCGATCGTTTCATGCGTCGCGGGAGTATAAAGTCAAGAAATTGCGCGATTGCCATGTGCGATAAGGGAGTCACATAAGTTGGTATAGAAAATGATGTTGATCATCCGTAATTTCATATTGGTTATCAGCATGTGCACCGTTCCTCTCCAAAACTGTCCGGTAATGTCGTAACCCTCAACACGTGAGCCATTTACTTTACAATTTCGACAAACGAGATTAAAACACCATTTCTGCAAGAACTTTAATTAGGAATCCGTCGTGGCGCAGTGAGCTAATCGGCGATTATACGGCAATTCAGTTATATATATGACCAAGTGCTCTTTTCGAGACTTAATTGAGGCGCGATAAGAAAATTTGGATATCGTTTGTGGATTATCATAAGCCCTGATGTTGGTTTTGCAGCAATCGTGAGATCGACGCCTAGATCCCCCTACACAACAGCGCAAATACAAGCATCCCTGACAATCCCTCATATAAGATAAATTTACAAATTTGCAACTGCAGTCAAACACTTGAACGCCGGACAAGCACACGACTTCGTAAATATATGGCATCAATGAAACTACTTCCAGTGCACGCACTCAGAAGAAAACGGTTTGTTTATAGACTTTGGTACTCCGCAACTTAGGCAACTTAGGTTTTTAGAGTCGGAGGTTGCTCCGAATCCACGTCACTCCACAAGACTAACGTCAGATGTATCTGCTGTAATTACTTTCCTGAGTATGGCCTTTGAGAATCAAGTGACTCTGTTACTATAAGAATGGCTGTCCAGACAATCCTGCAATCACCTGTAAGGCTCCTGCCTGCGGTCCTTTGGCAACTGTCAACAAATGGCTTAAGATACTTATCCTTAACCAATACGCAATTAGTCCAGGCAAGCTCCGAATTAATCTCTTGTTCCGTCCAGCCCGTTTCCCCTCCAGTCGACAACCAACCCCATCCTCACGGCCTATCCTCCCAGCTCCATCGATCCCCACACCTTCCGCGGCTTCCCTGTTCCACACCCAATACCACACCACCACTCGAATCTGCCGCTTTCTCCGCTTTCCTACCCTTCCGCTGCCATATAGATTTTCAACAACCCCGGCCGGCGTGCACCTGGCTCCGCTCACTAGATTTCCGCCTTGCAGCCTGCGAGGTGCACACCGTCCCGTGGCGGCCCTCATCCGCGTCATCCGCAGCCGTTCACACCAAGCGACACCCCCAGCCGGCCGTGGGAGGTGACGACGCAGCCACTGCCGGCGGCGCCGACGAACGTGGTGGCGGCAGCGTGGGCAAGAGCGCGCCTCGCCCCAAAGCAGAACCCACCAAGGAGATGCATCTCAAGCCGCGAATCGCTGAACATGATCTGACCTATAAACTGCGCCAAATGGAAGGCTGGCTAGCGGACGGCATCAGGTGGGTACCGCCGCTGTCTTTTTGTTTCGGGAATGCATCCTGCATGGTTCCCGATTCAGTTTTGTCCTGGGGGCGTTTTGGATCAGCCGGTACGACTGGGGTGTGAGCCAGGTCCACAGATCGATCCGGGCCATGGCCACTAGTTGGAGAGACTTGGAGCTACAACCCTTCCTAAGCGGCAGGGCAGACCGAGTTGTTCTCGATCGGTTGAGTGGCATCCATTTTGAGTTACTTAGGGTTTAACCTGTCGTACGGTGCCGTACCATGTCAGGACGAAACTGGTGGTGGAATTTCGCGCGGCGGAGCAGTCCGAGGCGGCGGCGGCGCTGATGGACTCCGTCGTGGCGAGGTTGGCGGGTAAGGGCCAGCCGCTGGGTCCCAGGCGGCAGAACAAGGACTCGTGGTTCGTGATGCTGCGGCCGCCCCCGGTCAAACAAAGCAAGCAGCAGCAGGCCAAGCAGCAGCAGCACCCGGCGCCGCTGCCGCAGCAGCAGCAGCTGAAGCAGCAATCTCAGTCACAAAAGGAGGAGGAGACGCGAGAAGGCGAGGAGCAGCGCCTGAAAGGGCAGCTAAGAAGTGATGGTGTCGCGATGCGTGGGGCGCCGAGCACGGCAGCTTAGGCTCCAAACTGCCTTCTTCGTCAGGGGGCCCCGGCATACCCTTGCGGGCGGGAGCGTTCGAAGAAGGTCCGCATGTACGCACTCTCTTTCTTTTCCCAATTCTCTCTCTCACTCTCCCTCACTCTGTCTCTCTCCTTCTCTTCTGCTACTCGCACCACCACTACGACGTACGGCCCAGCGGTGAAAACCCGTACACGACTATAGCTACCGCAAACCCCCCTGATCCCAACATTCTCCGTCGGCAGTTGGCTCGCTGCTCCTTGTGCATACGAGTCCCAACCTGATCCTCCTTCGAACCCGCGGCTGGCGCCGCGCAGGGAAGCTGAGCAGGGAAGGGAAGGGAAGCAATGCCCCCCGGGGGGTTGGCACATTGGTGACGCCGCGGCAGCCCCACGGAATGCTCGGGGAGGACTTTCTTGCGGTGTATCGTTTCAGGCAACAGCTGCTGGGGGAGTGTCTGTGGTGCGAATCAACTTGTGGAGCGACTCCTCCTTGCGGCAGTGGGTTTCGTTGTTCGCAGCAAGTTCATTCGCTGGCTTGGGTTTCCGGCCCGTTATTGTCATGGATGGAGGGATAGGCTGGCAGGCGGAGGAGCGCGTGCTGGATTGCAGGTTGAGGAAACAGGTTTATGCTATTTGGCTGTCGTATGACGGGCCGAAGCGGAGCTGCAGCGGTGCGGCATTGCGTTTCTTCTGAAGAGGAAGGAAGCTGGATTGGTCCCTCTAGGTTACAATTGTTGCCTCATAGTAGTTTTGCCTTAAGAAATCCCCGTGAAGGAACTTTCTGTTGTGTTGATTCAACATGCAATACTACTACGAGTCGAGTGGATTTGTTGCGGGTGTATACTTTTGGATTTTGACTGAGGCTCACTTGTGCGGCTGTCACGTCGCGGATTCGCGACGATCCGGCGAACTCTCCCGAGTACGATGGTAGTTGCGGTGGCAGAACTTAGCTGTACGGCAAAGCAGCACCTCATGGGGAAGAGGGGAAGATCTTCCTATGCAATGCTTCACGTCTGATGTGGTACGTATGTTATCTTCACTGGATACGAGGCAAGTATTTGGGTCAGATTAGACTGCAACTTTTCTTAACGCAGCATTTAACTTGCAAGAACCAGCTCATCGCTATCTGTTTTCAGCAATAAATTTCCCATTAACTGGGCTTACTGACATTTGTAACTGCTTACTTGGAAATTTGGGAAAACCAAAAAATGGTCGCATCGAGCGTTATGCGGCAGCGATGCGCTGGCCCTGCATACATTTCAGAGCGTCCCGCAGCGATGATACGGCCGCAATGTTCAGCCGCAGTCCGGGGAACTCGATTTGGCGGCCTTCCGGGGGAACGCCGGGGCCTCGGTGCGCCGACTGCCCAAGGCGAGCCAGGCAGCAAAGCAAGTATATGTTGCCAGGCCGCAGCTAGCATTCCTCTAAGCAACTCAGGTGTGTATTTTCCGTTTACGTCATCGACAGCTTGCGATATCTGGATGCTGCTTTCGCAGTGTGCGAATCGCGCGGGTACTTGCGCTTGCAGACGCGGCACCAGAGCCAAATGTTTTACTGGCGAAATTTCGCGCAATCCTTTTCTTCGCATGGAGCTTTGCATTATCCCTTCCGCTGTTCATCACCATGCTGGTGATGGCTCCGTTTGTTCTGACATTTGACAAGTTCAGGTGGGACATGCGGCAACCGCTTACAATTGCGTTGCAAATGCATAGGTTCATGAAGTAGAGTTTGTGGCAGGCAACGGTAATAATGCACAGCGTCTGCTTCCAGCGCTAATAGGGACCTGGGCGTTATTAACCTATTTTAAAAGCAACCAGACCCTCACCATCCAAGCCGTTTGAGGGGAATGGAGGAGCCTCTAGGCGGATCCACGCCGCGCCAATTCCAGAGCGCACATCTCTGATGATGGGCCACATCCCCGGAGCGGGGCTAGGGCAGGTTGACCTCTTCCGGTAACGATCACTCCCGCCGCTGCAACAGCTTCAAACCTTCAACAAGGGATAGTCCGCTGCATCCCATAATCCGATGACCCTACTTTTCCCTGTGCGCTCCACCCTAAAACCCTAACTCACACAATCAGAAGCTGATTTGAAGGTTTTCGCAGCGGATGTTCAGTACAGTAGTTTGCCAAAGACAATTTAGTGTCTCGCATATACCAACCTGAGCCCCTCAACCCCCACCCCATCCTTATACCTCCCCCGCACTAACCCTGCAACCCCCCAGCCTTAACCCGCATGAACGACCTGACGTGGACCCAGCCAAGGAACCGAACGGAGGATTCAAACGGTACTAACGGTATTCCTAACTGTCCCTACCGCCGTACATTCGCAGGCGACTAGGCCAACACTTTGTGAACAACATTTGGGCGTGTGTCAGCACCTTCCCCTTCTACCGAGTTACGGTGCGTGGATGGGTGGGGGGTTATGTCAGGGCGGTGCGGGAATTGGTGAGTTGGGAGAGGAGGAGTGATGGTTGGGTGGTTGGTTGAGGGGGTGGGCGGGTGTCGGCAGACAGGCTGGCTGGGGGGTGCCTGAGCGGGGCGGGGCGGGGTTAGGGGGGTTGGGGTGGGGGTAGCGGGGGGAGGGAGCTTGTGTGTCCCTATGCTCCTCCTCCGGGCTCGCGTCCCTGGGGGGACTTGGGGGTTGGGGGCCGAGGACTGATTGATAAATCGCCGCAGTTCCAACCCCCTTTCAGTCTTAACGGTTGCATTCAGCCGTCTTTGCCGACCCGCTCGCGTTCGTGCGTGCGTGTGTGTACATGTGTGTGTGTATGGCTGTGCGTGTGTGTGTGAACGTTACAAGTATCTGACCGGGCCTGACACTGGACAGGGTCTGGTGTGTGTGTTTTCTCGTGGTCTGGCAACCCACCCCGCCCCGCCCTTCAGCACCCCCTAACCCTCCTCCCACTACGAGCCCGTCTGAAACACACACCCCACCCCACCACACTAACTTCACACACGTACCCACATACATACATACATACGCGCAGATCGAGGGCCGGGAAAACCTGCCGCCGCCAGACAAGCCAGTGGTATATGTGGCGAACCACCAGAGCTTCCTGGTACGACAGGATATCCGTGGCAACGGATGTACGGCATACGGGACGGGTGGCAGGTCGTTGGGGACTTGTATGTGATGGAGGGGAAGCCGCAGTGGGGCAGCCTGCGGGGCGGATATTTGACGATGTCGTACATGGGAACTGAACGGTAGTACGGAGGGGGAATGTGGTGTGCAGGGCCGGGCGGGACGGCGTGTGTGTATGTGTGTCAGGGCAAGGGGGGGCCCCCCCGGGGGGAAGGGGGAAACCGAGAGCAGCACTCACGTGAGTCAACATGCGTCGTACAAGGCGTAGCCGTACAGAGGCTTGTCCGGACGCCTCGTCCGCTGCTCAATGCCCAAGTCTTTCCCCTCCTCTTTCACCTTCGTCGGCCTGGCGTGCGGTTTTAATGATCTGAGCCGCAACCTGACGACCCGTGTCTCGAGCCTCGTGTCATGTTCTGGGTTTGGCAATGCCCCGTCTTCCCCCCTGACCGCATCCGGAGCTCCCCCACCGCCCCTGGCCCCCCTCACCGCGCTGCTCTCCCCCTCTCTCCCTCCCCCCAACTCGTCCACGGCCGCTCTCCCCCTTCCCGTGGCCCTGCCCCGGGCTCCCCGCTCCTGTTTAGGACATCTACTCTCTGTTCCATCTGCAGCGGCCCTTCAAATTTATTTCCAAAACAAGCAACTTTCTTATTCCCATTATCGGCTGGAGCATGTTTCTGACAGGTGCCGGCTGAGCCTTGGGTTTGGGTTTTTGGACGCATGTCAGGACTAGGGGTGGGGTGGGGTGGGGTGGGGAAAGGTCTATATGGAGAGGGTGTTTTGAAGATCTCTTTTGTCCTGTGTTGGGGATGAGGGGCACATCACATCTTCACGTTTATCTTGACCGGAGGGTTTCGCCACGGAGGGGTGTACACCTGCACATCTCCCCCACCCCCCCATACATACATACATACATACATACATACATACATACATACATCCCGACACACACTCACACAGGTCACGTGATGATCAACCGGGTGGATCGTCGTAGTCAGCTCAAGTGCCTGCAGCAGTGCCGGGAGCTGCTGGAGCAGGGGGCCCCCGTGCTGTTCTTCCCGGAGGGTGAGGGGGGGACATGTACGCGTGTGTGTGTATGTGTGTTTGGGAAGGGAGAGACAGATAGACAGACAGGTGCGTTTGAAAATGACAGCCAGATAGCCAGGCAGACACACGACAGGTCTGTTTGGGAAAAGGCGGACCGACAGACAGACAAACAGACAGACAGACGGATATCCGTTTTTCCAGGTCTGAGTCTTTCCTCGGCTTCCTAGGGTCCCAATCGGCGAATCTTCGTCTGAAATGATGCCGGGTGCCGCATGGCCGCATGTTCCACGCACATGCCCGTGTACACAGCCCGGTATTTGTTCACCCTTTCCCCCTTCCGTCCCGGCCCCCTCTCCCTCCTCCCTCCCCCAGGCACGCGCAGTCTGGATTGCCGGCTGGCTGGCTTCAAGAAGGGCGCCTTCAGTGTGGCCGCCAAGGCCGGAGTAGACGTGGTGCCCGTCACCCTCATTGGCACGGGTGCGGCGCTCGGTATGGGGGAAGGGGGGGAAAGGGGGAAGAGATAGGGGGGTTAGGTTTTATGGTAAACCCCGGACAACAAAGGGACACCGAATATTCCTGGTTCCCGTGCGGCGTTTTGGTTTTAGGGTTTTAGGGTTGGTGCTCGTTTGTGCATGCACTCTACGCCGACCTAAACCTTCTCTTCCCACACTCACCCCATGCCGCCCACCCCACCTCTCACATACTTGATTATCTCCCCGTGCGTGCATTTTCTTGAGCTGTTCGGCTGCTGCCCCTATCTACTTGTCATTTTCTGTTTAGGCTCGCTGATGCCGAGCGGGAAGGAGTCCCAGCTGCGGCCTGGGGAGGTGCGGGTGGTGGTGCACAAGCCCATCCCCACCTCGGGCCGTACAGCCGACCAGCTGTGCGACGAGGCGAGGGCCTCGGTGGCGTCTGCTCTCCCGCCGGAGCTGGTGGGCAGCGCGATGACCATGCTGCCGGATGAATGAGTGGAGGCCTATGTAAAATGGGGAGGGAGGGAGGAAGGGAGCATGCGGACGGGAGTAGTCATGACTATGCAGGGGAAGGGAAGTTGGGGGAGGGAGGGTTTGGGAGCTGGAGGGGCGCGGGTTTTGGCCGTATGGGGAGGAGGAGGGGTGGGTGGGTTGAACGAGCGGAAGTGCAGACGACTTAGGTGGTAGTGTGAGAGAGAGAGAGAGAGTTGTGTGTGGCTACGCGCGCAGGGGGAGGGCGGCGTGGCGGGAGGGGAAACGTGGTTTGTGTGGTGCTGTGCTGTGCTGCTTATATATATATGGAGCTTTTGTCTAGCTTTGTTGGGTTTTGATCGGCACACGTACGGCAGACTGGGCGGGCTGTATTTTTGTACTGACTTTGCTGGCGTGTGCGCCTTGGTTTGCGGAGGGTAGGGCGCAGGAGTGGTTATTAAAAGTTTTGATACGGCAGTTGAGCGAACAGCCGAACATATTGATCGGGTGTACGGCATATTTTAGGGGTGGTTAGGAGGTGTGCGAGTATATGCGTGGTGCCGGAACGTTGCTGAAGCTTGGCGACAATTAGAGGGGTGCGACGGGGGTTGCCGCTTTGACTTTTGGCTGCTCACTCACCCAGGGTCACCCATATCCACACCCTCTGGAGTTTTGCGAGGGGTTTCCATGTGTGTGCTTGGGGGGCGGAGGGGAGGATCAACGACACAAACGTTTATAGAAAATGACGAGCGCCTGAGGAACGACATGTGCGTATGTTAAGGAGGATCTGCTGCGGGAAGTGCCGTGGCAGTGAGCCGGTGAGCCTTTATTTTTATTACAGATTGGTGGTGGTCATGGTGATGGAAGAAGTTGTGGTGGAAGTGGTGGACGGTCTCGCGAGAAAAGGGATGAAATATTATCATGAGACTTTTGCCCTGAGAATCATGGCTGTTGAGGGAGATGGGAATGGAGGTGATTTGCGGCATGTACGGTGTAATATGTAAGCCAACTGTCGCGGCCGACTATATCGACCCAGAGTAATAAGATTGGAAGGTAGCTCGCTGATGAAAACGAGGTAATTTTCCCAGCGATAACTATTCAAGCGAGGTTTGGACAGCTGGATTTATAGTGCGCTATGGCCCATGAGCCATGATAAGGTGCTCAGCATGATCAGCACATGAACCATGCCCAGCAGCAGGTTTTAGCCCTGGCCCTCATGTAACCATCCGTTCCTTGTGATTGATAAGTAATTTCGGCTGATAGGACTGTGCAGCAAAATGCCTAAGCCACAGAGGGCGAAGACAAGCCTCGCGGAGTTGTTAGCGCAGCAACCTGAGCCTCAACGGAATGATTGGTCTAATGGTGGGTTGAGGCAAGCCTCTATGAGAACCTTGCTAAGCTTTCCTTGCACAATTAGAGCGCTGGCCTTCAACCTGGTTGAACCTGTTGTTTAGGAGTTTGTCAAAAGCTTTACTCATGTAAATTATGTCTGGAGAAGGATTTGTAAGCTGGAGTCGCTGACAGGAGCGCTTCGCCATCCTGTCGCTGTCCGCGCTTGCTAGGTCGGCCCCACGCGGTGTCCAACAGAAGCCATGCTGCGGCTGATGACGGGTTTCCCAAATATGACCCGAAAGACTTTGCGTCAGAGGAGGAGGAGGAGGAAGAAGAAAACAGTGGCCCCGGCGCCGGCGGGGCGTTTGCAATCCTCGCGGGTTTAGCCGGTGGCGAAGCTGAAGAAGACGAGTGGCTCACGGTCTCTTCGAAACAAAAGAAAAAATCTTCCACGCAGGCGCCAGCTGCGGCCCCTAAACCGTCAGCTCCCCCCCGCCGCCCTACCGCCCCACCAGCTCCCGCCACTAGGCCCGCAGCCCCCAGCCCAGCCGCATCTTTCCCACGCCCTCTTGGGGAGCCAGCCGGATCAGCCGCAGCAGCAGTGTCTTCTGCTGGGCCAAGCCGCGCGCCATACACTATCACACAGGCCGCGGAGTCAGCTCCCCGCACCCCCCGGCCCCAGACACACGATGCTGGTGGGCGCCCAATTTCTGATACCTACTACCAAACCTTCCAAAAGGCAAGCGCGGGGTCCCTTACCTTTCCTTACCACAGTCGCAACCTGACCCTGGATGGGAACACCTTTCTTAAAATGGTCACTGCCTCGTGGATTTCCCCCCAGCCGCCTTCCTCTTTTCTCTCTTGTATCTCGCTGCCTTGCCCTGCCGTGCGGGCTCTCCTTCGCGAGCTCTCACCTCCTCCGTCATCAACATCCGCTATCCGTCACCAACACGCAGGCCGACGCCTTTGGCTGCTGCTGTTGGTTGGCAGGGCAAGTTGAGATTTATGTTGAACACTTTCTCGAGTGCATGCACTTGAAACGCTTCCCGCTCTACGGAATGCCGTCCATCCCGTGCCGCCCCTTTCCGTCTTCGCCCGCCTCTCACATTGCTCCTCGCTCCCTTTCGTCTCCCACTCCCCACGCCCTCCCTCTCGTCACGGGCCGTGGTGTGCAGGTCTATCGCAACACCTTCGGTGCCGTCTGCATGCGCTTCCACAAGACAGATGTCGTAACGGTAAATGGCACTTGCCTGCGTTGAACTTGCCACGGCCAAAAGAAAGGGACATGAGCATGTTGTCGTACATGTACGGCACATCGAGTTCATGGGGGATGGCCTTCGTGGGTGCGATACAGGCCGAAAGGGTCCCCCTCGGGGCTCTTTTTTTTCCGCGCGGCCTCGGGGCATTCGGATATTCCTCATCCTGATTGCATCCTGGTGCCGCCCCCTTGCTTGAAGTCCGATGCCTCTTACCGCTCGGTCCCTTTGGCACACCCCTTCGCTGTCCTCCACGTCCCATACGGCGGTAGTTTGGAGCTTATCGTGCAGTCCTGTGGTTTCTCACCATGGAATGTAATGTTGCCAGTGGCACCACCTTACAGCGCATTTCATACCCCCACCCCGCCCCGCCCCGCGCCCTTTCCTCCCTTTCCTCCCTTTCTCCCCCCCCCCCCCCGCAACGCACACAACGCGACTACGCGGCTGCATGGTGCTTTCCCTTAACCCTTAGTTACCCACATACCCGCATAGAGCCTATCCATGTTATGTGTGCATCATTCTCTCCCCTCCTCCTCCTCCTCCGTCCCCTCGGCCCCCTCCGCCCTCGAGGGCTCCCTACCCCCGGGGGGCCCCCAAACACCGGCAGCTGTTCACTTCCCACCTCCTCGCATATGATTTCCCTCCTCCTCACCCCCTCACCCCCTCACACGACCTCTCCTACCACGACCTCACCTCACCTCTATCCTCATGGCGCGCAAGGTCCGAACCAACGGTGACGTGGTACTTACAAGCGGCGGCTTTCACACCCGTACTACGTACTGCACCATACAAGAGGCTCTGGAGCCCTTGGGCCTTACCTTGCAGGGCACGGGGCCTGAGGGCCGAGGGGAGTGGTCGGTGGTGGCATCGGACGGCAGTCGTACACCCTGGGAGGACGGTATGGTGATTCCAGCCAAGACCGATGCGGACCGGGGGCGAGGGCAGCGGCTGTTGGATGCGTACGGCGTGGTGGCACCGTCAGCGGCGGCGGCGGCGAGGGCTGCAGCGGGCTTTGGGACGGCGGCGGCGTCCGCGGGTGCGATGGTGGTGCGGCGGGGGAGAGGGAGGGAGAGGTGACAGGATGGACTGTGTTGGCTGGGGGACTGCGAGGAAAGGGGAGGAGGTGAGGGAAAGCGGGAAAGGGGAGAAAGGAAAAGGGAAGGGAGGGGAAGTGGCAGAACACCAAAGGGAGGGAAGGAAAGAAGGTGAAAGGAAATCGCAACGGAAGGTTTTTCAGCGCGCCCCATGTGAGCTCAGCAGCTTCATTATCCCGCCCAAGCCCTTCCTCCCCCTCCCCTCGCCTTCCCTCCTCTTGCCCTGGCAGCAGCTTCACTCGTTCGTGGTTCGTCCTCCCCCCCCCCGCCTCCTGCTGATCCTCCTCCTCTTCCTCTTTCATAATACCCCCTCCCCCCGGGTCCCCCTCCCCCATTATGTCCCTCCGTCTTCAGGCTCCGCCGCCGTACGTGCGCCGTTCGTCACCACAGCAGCCGCCCCTGCAGGCCCCGCCCCTGTCCGTGCACCCATACCCGTTCCTGTGCACGCCCCGGTAGCCATGAAACCACCAACAACAACAATAACAACAACAGCAACAACAGCAGTAAGAGCGCCGTCGCCCAGCACTACGTGGTCGTACCGCTCCTCTGCGGGAGTCAGTGCCGCGAGCCCCGCCGCCCTGCGAATGTCCGGCAGCACCGCCTCAGCTTTGTCCTCAGTCCCTGTGCCCACAGCCCGCACCGCCGAGTCCATCTCCAACCTTCAGAAATTGCTCGACGTCGCCCTCGCGATGAAGGACGACGCCGCGGCGGAGGCCAGCGGTGGCGGTGGCAACGGCGGCGGCAACGGCGGCGCCACGTTGGCCGGCGGCGACGGCACTGAGGAGCTGGATGACGAGCACGCGTGTATCGCCTGCATGGCGGCCCTCAAGACGACGTTGCTGATCCCTTGTGGCCACATGGTGATGTGCGGGCCGTGTGCCGAGCAGGTGCTGCAGCGGACGGGTGCATGTCCCATGTGCCGTTTGGAGGTGGTCAGCCATCTGACCATTCAGACGTGAGGCGACTCAACGGGGAGGTGTAGGGCGGTGAGCTGGTGGTGCGGCCCAGAGTGCGCATACACACGATCGGGCTGAGGTGATGTTGGGACCCTGGTTTGGTGTCGGGAGGGAAGAAGGGAAGAGGGTGGTAGCGGCGGCGGCGATGGTGATATGGAGACGGTAGCCGGCGGTGAGATGGCAGTGGGGACGAGGTGCGGTCCTGGTGCGGACGTTCGTCGGTGTGTTGGTGCCGGGGCCGCGTTCAGGTCACGGGTCGGGTCAGGTCGGGTCACGGGTCGGGTCAGCGGAAGGGGGGGAGATGTGAAACTGAGTAACAGGATGCGAAAGAGAGAAAGGTCGAGACCGCTGAGTGAGGACAGGCGAGGTCGAGTCGAGTTGGAGTCGGGTTGGAGTCTCGGTGGTGAATTGGGGTGGATGCTACTGGTGTTGCAGGGTCAGTTACATGACGGTTACATGACGGTTACATGACGGTTACCAGCAACATAGATACGTGTCCACGGAGGAGGGAGAGGGCTTAGGGCACCCTGGAGTCGGATAGGCGCGCCAGCGCGTTGGACAATGCCGTACACACTGCAAGAGGAAACTAAAGTGATTGGATAGTTTGTGCTGCCTATCCGCGCGCTTATCCGTGTTGTTTAACCGTTTACGTGTGTGTTATGCGTCCGCCGTCATGACGGATGATGTGATGGCGTGACGGGAAGGGAAAGGAAGGAAGGAGGGGGGACGGGAGGAAGGGACTGCGCAGCTTAGTACTGAGTGTTTTCGAGTTGTTTACCCCGAAAATCTTGTGGATATGGCGGAAGGGTGTGCGATGCGGGAGCGGACAGTCCAGTTTTGATGCCTCCGACATGGACGACAGAGCGTTACCACTGTTGCTTTACGCTGATGACCTCAGCGTGCTGCTGCCAGCGATATCTGCGGAACACATGCCGGCCCTGCTTGATCTCGTCCTGGATTTCAGTTGTTGTAGAGAGAGCGCGTGCCTATTGGACTGTGCAGGCCCGCGGCTGGTGGGAGAGGTCATCCCTGTTATACCGGGTGCACGGTACTTAGATCTTGGACCTTCGGTCCAGGGAAAGTCTTTGCCGCATCCCTCACCGAGGCCGGGAGAGCTGCTACGTTTGGATAGTTTCCGTAGCCCGGAGTAATGTTTCGTGTGATAAGATTGAACTTTTCCTTGTGCGGTTTACGAGACCTGCCTTACTTGGACACAGTCTGTGGCCCCCTGGCCCTGGGGCCGCGCCTGCAGACCTCCGGTACACCTCCGGAGGGCAACGCAACTCAGGAATTGTAACACACACATACATGCATACACATGCATACACATACATACACATACATACACATACATACACATACATACACATACATACACATACATACACATACATACACATACATACACATACATACACATACATACACATACACACACATACATACACATACATACACATACATACACATACATACACATACATACACATACATACACATACATACACATACATACACATACATACACATACATACACATACATACACATACATACACATACATGAGACCAAGCTTGACTAAGCTGCTACTATGACCGTCGGCCAACCGCGGCCGTGGCCACCGACAGCGACCTCAATTGTTTGAGCGTAGTTATGGTTATCTAATTAGCCTGAAAATGTCGCAGAGGCGACCAGCAGTGGCTGTTAGCCGCGGCAATGTTCAAAATGGCCGCCAGCCGACCTCAGCCGCGAGACCGCAATCCATACCGACCAAAAAGATAAAGGCCGTCAGTGGCTTTTACGGAACAAATGAAGGCTTGGCTTTCTACAGAGCCACACTAGAACTGGAACCGATCGTGGTGACAGTCCGGTGGCCAGCGGGCTCAGATACGGGCGACATCATCGCGCAAATATACGGTCCATTAGGACTTCAAATTCTGGCAACAA